CCAGACTTCGTCTCACCTATTTTGGTCATGTTGTAAGAAGGGACCAATCCCTGGAGAAGGATGTCATGCTTGGTAGGGTGGAGGGTCGACGAAAGACGGGGAGGCCGTCAAGGAGATGGATTGATACAGTGGCTGCGATGATGGGCTCAAGTATAGCAGGGATTGTGGAGCTGGTGCGGGATCGGGCAGTGTTTCGTTCTGCTGTGCATGGGGTCGCTATGAGTCGGAAACGACTCGACAGCACTTAACAACAACAACAACAAGTAAAATAGCAAAGTTCAAGAAGTCAGAAAATAACAAATGGTGGTGAGGGTGTAATTGGAACTCTCATACACTGATGGTGGGACTGTAAGGTACAACCACTGTGAAAAATGGTGTATCATTTCCTTAAAAAGTTGGAAATAGAAATGCCATTTGATCTAGCAATCCCACTACTAGGTAAATATTCTAAAGATGTGAGGGCCAGGATGCAAATAGATATAGGTATACCTATGCTTATGACAGCATTATGCATAATAGCAAAGAGGTGGAAATAACCAAAGTGCGCATTATGCATAATAGCAAAGAGGTGGAAATAACCTAAGTGACCTAAGTGGATGGATAGATAACCAATGTATGGTACATATACACAATGGAATACTATACAAAATTAAGGAATACTGAAGAATCTACCAAATACCTTATAACATGAATGAACTTGGAGGACTTTATGCTGAATGAAATAAATCAGTCACAGAAGAACAAATAGTGTATGAGTCTATTGTTATAAAAAGTCAAGGAAAGATTTACATACTGAAGGAAATATTCTTTGCTGGTTACTAAGGATAGAGGGGTGGGGAAGAGAAAATTACTAGCTAGCTAAGTATTGAAAAATAAAAATACACATTTCATTTATCCAGTATGCATTTTAAATATATCAAAATATTTCTTGGGAGTTTGTGTTGTGGTCCTTGTGCTTTGGGAGAGTGTCTTTTAAAAGAATGACCTTTTGTACAGCAAAAATAATATTGTTGGAATGTCCCCATAATATTGCCAAGATGCTGGGAAATATTTTCTCCCAAAGGTATTTAATGTTTGTGAAGATGAGAAGGGCATTTAAAACAAACAATCAAACAAAAAAAACACAGTCTTTCCTTCTCAATCTTCCCCTTTATTTTGTAGTTGGATCATCCAAGATGATTCGCTTACTGCTTACATCTTAATGGATGGTGTAGAAAATTTTGATTTATAAACCTCAAATTTGAAAAGAAAAACAAGCATGGCAGAGCAATTTGAAGTGATTGTGATGTCTATATCTTTCTTGTCTTTATTTATTACATTTAATTTTTCTTAAAATGTATATGTACACTAGGCCTGGCTGGAAATGTATTTCCTGCTCTCTTTTGAATGTTCCTCTGTACCATGTCTATATGCACCCACTCCTCACATAGCTATATGGTTAGCTTCCAAAGACTAGGCGGTTATGCCAAAATCAGCATTTATGAAAACGAAAGATGACCACATCAGATTGCAAAATGCAGGATGACTACATCATTACTTAACTGCCAAATTACATCATTACATAACTGCACCAATGAGAATCGTGGTGCAGCCAAGTTGACACATAATCTTAACTTTCATAACCAGCGTTATTACTCTTGCCTCACACCTTGACATTCATTACTGCCAGATGTATGCTGATAATGCATAAAATAGTCATAGAGTAGATTTTTTTTTACTACTGTTGTAAATGTAAAATGAAATAGTGGGTAAGTGAGCAGTCATGAGTTGGAATTGACTCGATGGCAGTGAGTTTGAGTTTTGAGTTTTGAGATATACTGAATACTAAAGTGAAATGACACTAAAATGATGGTTTTGAAAACAAGAAATGTAAATTATGGACCTGCCAATGGCAGAAAATATGTCTCTCTATTACTTTGAGTATTGCTTGATAATTATTTGCTAAGTGAGGAAATGAATGAATGAATGAAAGCATCTCTCTTTTTTTTTTAAATAGTGTTCTGGAATTATTGGACAGAGATAATGAGAATTTTAAGTAGATGCTTAATAATTGCTGGATTCCGAAAAATAAGGAAGTGGTGAATAAGAGAGTGCTATTTTAGTCATTGTTAACATTTTCACCATAAGAGTATTTAAAATTGTGATATCTTGATTTAATATGAGTTATTTTAACCTACCTTTTCTCCAAATTGTTAGCATATCTCTTCAGTTTAAAACAAAAAGTAAGACATTGATTTTAATTTTAAAATTACCATAAATTTTCTATTTTTAAAATACTTAATATTTCTTAATTGAATAATGTTTAACCTCTTTGAATTATGATACCCTAGTTTTTTTTTTAAGCTTAATCATGTACAGTTTGAGTGGTTGAGTATATAACTTGATAAAAATGATTGATTTGGCATAATAATTACACAAAAACATAATTTAAATTACAGATAAAAATAAAGGTACTTTACTCCACTTGAAATCCAGTATTATAGAAATCAGTTTAAAATGTAGTTATTGAGACATTGGTGCTCTTGTGTATAGTTAAGAAGGACCCCTCCCCTACCCATACATATTGTAAACCCTGGTGTCAGTTTTTATCTATCTCTTTTTTCCCATAATACACTAAACATCAAATACATACATAGTAGATGCTTAGTAAACAACCTATGTGTCCCTCAATGACTCAAGAAATGAATGCAGATCCTATATTTTAATAGTTCCTACCTAAAAAAAAAAACAAAAAAAAAACTCACTGTCGTTGAGTCAGATCTGACTCATAGCAACCCTTCCTTGGGTTTCTGAGGTGGTATCACTATGGAAGTAGATTGCCCAACCTTCCTTCTAAGGAGTGACTGGTGGGTTTGAACCACCAGCCTTCTGGTTAGCAGTCATATGCCTTAGGCATACACCACCAGAGCTCCTAGTACCTACCTAGTGTCATCCAAAAGAGGCCTGCTAGTACAATGCTTAAAGTACTAGGCTGATAACCAAAAGGTCGGCAGCTCGAACCTAGTAGCTGCTCCACTGAAGAAAGATGTGGCAGTCTGCTTCTGTAAAGGTTACAACCTTGGAAACCCTATAGGGCAGTTCCACTCTGTCTTATAAGGTTTCTGAAATCAGGGTTGACTCAGTGGCAGTGGGTTTGGTTTTGGTTAGCATCGTCTAAAGGAGCCTTGGTGACACAATAGTTAAAACATTCAGTTTTTACCAAAAGGTTGGAGCTTCAAACCCACTTGCTGCTCCATGGGAGAAGGATGTGCCAGTTTGCTTTACAGCCTTGGAAAGCCTATGGGACTGTTCTGCTGTGTCTTATATCTCTGAGTAGGAATTCACTTGGTAATAGTGGGTTTAGTGTCATCTAGGAAGCACCTGGTGGCGAAAATTTTTAACACACTAATTGAAAGATTGGAAGTTTGAGTCCACCCAGAGGCACCTCAGAAGAAAGGCCTGGCAATCTACTTCTGAAAAATTAGCCACTGAAAGTCTTATGGAGCACAGCTCTACTCTGACACACATGGAGCCATGAGTCACAGCCAACTTGATCGCAACTTCATGATGATGATGAATGTCATTTAGTTTAATTTTACTCTTAAGCTCTTTGGAGGAGGACAGAATTAGAGCATTTTGAAAATCATAGTATTGTGATTAGAATTAAAATCTTCAGAGTCAATTTTTGAATGTTTCACAGTCCTTTACAAAGCAATTTTTGTGTTGTCTGACTCTTGCACACGTTGACATTTGCACTAAAATGGAAAATTTGATGTCAAGTCTTGCTTGGGATCTGCAGTTTCTAGTTATTTATAGCCCAAATTTTGAGTTATTTTATTAATTTTATTTTTAGGATGCTGTTTTGATGCAATTTTGTGCAAACAAATTGGACAAGAAGGACTTCTTTGGAAAATCAGATCCTTTTCTCGTATTTTATCGAAGTAATGAAGATGGCAGGTAGATTTATCATTTGTATATTTTAATACTGTGGTAGGAATGATATTTGAATTATTTTTCACAGAGAAGCTTATTAATTTGATAAATAGAGTAAACTGTTTTGATATTTTAAAATTGATGTGGTTTTTGCATTGCAATAACACTGTGTAATTTTTTAAGCATTTTATATGTTTTGCTTGATATTTAAACTAAATGATTGTCAGTTTCATAGAAACATTTCTGTTATACTTGACATAAAATATTAGCTTGATAGTATGCAAGAACTCTACTTTTGTAGAAACCTAAAATGCTGAAACATTTTATACAATACATATATATCAGAATGTTTTTTGTATATGAACACTATTTTTATCCATATGAAAAAGGTTCCTCCTTTCTGAATTGCTTTTCCCTCTGAATTTCATATTTTTATTATTTAGTTTTCTTTAAAAATTATAAGGAGTCTGGTAGCACAGTGCCTAAAGGTGTCTGACTGGTAACCAGAAAGCTGGTGGTTCAAACCCACCAGCCACTCTGCTGAAGCAAGACTGAGTAATCTACTTCTGTAAAGATTTACCACCTCAGAAACCCAATGAGGGTTGCTATGAGTCATAATTGATTCAAAGGCAGTGGGTTTGGGGTTTTATGGTTTTAAAAATTATATAAATATTAGTTATGCAATTATAGGATTATGCTACTAGTGAGATTTTTATTATAAGAAAAAAGTGTTATGCTTATTATAT